TTTTTAGTTCCCTCATTGGATGTGGTCTGATTGTTAAAAGTAAAAACAGTGGAACAATTTGAAAACATTAAGCATAATACTAGAATAAATCAAACACTCCAGGGCTTGAAACTTTTTTATTCATTAGCAAATCTTTTACAGTTTGTTTAGCAGTTACTTGCAAAAATGTTATCTTCTTAACAAAAGAAGAGTGAGGCAAATGATTTATGAGTTGTTTCTCTTTAGAAGATATAAATAGTCAGTGAATGTGAATCATCATGTTTTTCATTTTTTAATAAACTGTCAAATTTTAGATGTATGTTTAACCTTTTTAATGATTTATCTTTCACAATATGAAATGATAAAAAAAGATATAATAAAGAATATGAAACACTGCTTGAATGCACTGTTTTTAATTAATATTTTAAAATTGGGGAATCTCACTGAAAGATGCATGAAATTGATGTTCATCAAGTCACTGGAAAAGACATATTGATTGAGTATTGCATTGTAGTTGCACTTATAGCCACCCCCTTTTTAAAATAATTTTGACAGTTAAACTTGTCTTAATATTCATAATGACACCTAGATTATCAGTTGGCAAAAAATATCAGTGCCTCTTCATGGTCTATGGCTAAACGCTAGAATTCACTGACTTGTATGTGTCTGATTAAAACTTTTACATGCACAAAAACAACCAAGTTAAAATAAAGGGGTCAGCCATACAAATATGTGATATAAAAAAGAAATAGCTAAGTGATATAAAGGGCAAACCTTAAAGATTTAATGTGAAAGTGTGAAAGTCAAACTAGGGAAACTTGGCCTTCTTTATACATTCATGTTACTATTTGTTCCAGTTGTAATAACAAGGATTTGCACTTTTATATAACATGTTTTTTTTTGTGTATGCCACAAACTCTACGTGGCTGAACCATGTTATTCTGTTTTGGCTGTTTATGTACATGTAAAATGTTTTGATCACAACCACTACTTTTTTGTTTAGACAAGCACTATCACTTCTGTTACTTAAGTGTTAGGTAAATGTAAAGTTTGCACTTCATGAAACAGTTGTTTATATATCTAGGTATTTTACACATGGAAACTACTAGTTTTTGTTCATTTTATGAGTTTTATTAGGCAACTGTAATCATTGTTATGTATGTTTAGAAAGGTTAAATTATTTCCATAAAAAATTATCAAATTTTTGTATTACATGTGTTGTTTATTTAGTAAAAAGTTTTTTTTATAATAAATGATCTTTATTGTTATCTTGATTGAAACTTGACTCATTCTGGAAAAGAAAAATAAGATAAACAATAAAAACAGCAATATTGTGTACCACTTTTAATGGTTACTTGCTTTATTCTATAAGATGTAATATGTTTTAATATGACATATTATTTCAAAATTAACTAGAAAAAATGAGATTCCATTTACGTGGCATTCAAATCCTAGCTATCTGGAAGCTACCAACACATGTTCATTGTGTTATTCTCTGCCTTTACCTAGACCCTAAAGTCATCAGTTTTAACCTAGTGGCTGTTTGGAGAAATATTCATATTAAATTACCAAAAAAAATTAACATATGTGCTACAGTTGTCGAACCCTAGTTCAGATAAATATATATCAATGGAATTTTGTTTTGTATGGTCCTCTTTTTGGTTACTGTATGTTTTGCCTCTTCACCAAGGGAAAGTAGAACAATTATTTTAACACTTTTTAACTACTTATCAATCATTTTAACACTTTTTAACTACTTATTTCTCTATCTAAAATGCATATGAAGCTGTTGCTTTCAATGTAATGTAAGTTTGTTTAAATGTGCTCAAAAACATAATAATAGTGACATTCAAACATTTAGAGCAGCTGTGGCAATACCTCTGATTTGGCCAAAAGTTCGGTCCCGTAAATATTGGATCATGTCAGTGTTATTCTATCCTTCTAACTTGGCTGGTGTCACTACAGTTCCTGTTGATATAACTTATGTGTGAAACAAAATAGATTTGGGTTAGTGATAGAACATAAATATGTATGTGTTCATAATAAACATGCAAACTATGAAGTTATTAACATCAACTACAACTTCGTTTTGTAATTGTTATTGTTTGGTTGTGGTTGTTTTTTTTAGGTAAAAACTGCTAATTTCCCAACTAATATCAGAAAGGTAGATTGGAAAATTACTATAGATTCATTCAGGAAATAAGGAGAACGATCCTGATGAGATAACTGAGTCAAATAGAGACACTGAACAAAGTTGGTAAAAATGAAAACAATCTTTATTAGTAAACAAACAAAAGAAAATGCAGTGTACATACTTGCACATATGAAAAGATACTACAGTGTCAATCCTTTTAAACCAAATGCTGTATATTACTGCAGTATTCTTTTGGGCAGAATAAACACCACTGACTATAGAGAACAAAGAAATGTAGCAACTAGAACATACACTAAATAACCAGTAACTTTTTTTATATTTCTATATCACAAAACAAGTAGAAAATATATGATGTGCCTGCATATTGCAGGGTCACTACCATGATCACATTCAAATTGGGTGTCACATTATGGGTTAAGCACCCAAAACTTGCCCCCACTATTATTGTTCTTTAGTTGCTTAGATTAATACTGTTTTTACCTGCAAATTGGAAATTAATTGAAAAAAATTGGAACATACTCAGTTAGCTTCCTTCAATTTTGTATTGTTTTCAGATGTTCTATAATTAGTACATATTTTTTGTTTTGCTTTTGTCAAGCGTTATTTTAATGTATTTGTTATAGATTAGAATAGATTAGTTATAATTTTGCATAAACATAGATTTAGTGTTCTTCCATTTTTGTTGATTGTAACAATTACATGAGGGCCAATAAAGGATCCAGGAAAAAGGTTAAAAACTTGAGAAGAATATTTTAAGCATGGATAAAGCTTGAAAGTTTCTAATATATAGTTTTAGACTATGTTATGAGTACATAAACATATCTGTTATACATACGTTGAACTATACAGATTTTATTTTCAGCATCTACTGTATCTCTGAGATGGATTACAGAGGAAACACCTACTAATAAATTGGTTGTCAGTGAAGAACCACCATTAAGGTATTTTAATAAGTTTGAAGAATATTTTGAAATTAATAACTTATGTCTGCAGCTGTAAAACTGATGTAAGTAGTTTGCTGTTTTCACTAGAATACTTTTATTAATTTTTTTTCATTTGAAAATAGATTTTGGGTTTGATAACAACTTATAATAACTTGGAAACTTATGATAGTTCTCACAATTAGTGTAGAAAGTAAACCAGAGGAAGGAATTTATATCAATACCACCTCTAAACTTGGAAAGTAGGTATGGAGAAAAGTGTATTTAACAAACAAATCTTTTTCTGAAATTAATAGTGTTTGAGTTATACATACAAGTAAAAGGTAATTTTAGTAAACATTACTTTCCAAACTCTTGATTGCCATGAAATGTTTAGAGGGTTCTTGGGTTTGTCCCAGTTCTGATAGTTTATTGAAAGTAATTACACTAATATGAAGAAGCTGGCCATTAGGAGTGACATTCTAGAAAATATTATTAGTATGAAGAAGCTGGCCATTAGGAGTGACATTCTAGAAATTCTTATGCCAATATTACTAATATGAAGAAGCTGGCCATTAGGAGTGACATTCTAGAAAATATTAGTATGGAGAAGCTGGCCATTAGGAGTGACATTCTAGAAATTCTTATGCCAAATTACTAATATGAAGAATTTGGCCATTAGGAGTGACATTCTAGAAAATTTTATACCACTAATACTAATATGAAGAAGCTGGCCATTAGGAGTGACATTCTAGATATTTTTATGCCAATATTACTAATATGAAGAATCTGGCCATTAGGAGTGACATTCTAGAAAATATAATTAATATGAAGAAGCTGGCCATTAGGAGTGACATTGTAAAAAGTTTTATGCCAATATTTAGTAGATCTGTATCATAAATAATGCACATGCACACCATCTCCATGAACTGAATGAAATAAGTCAAGTATTTTTTTCGTAATGTAGAGGTTTGAAATTTGGCTCATTCCCATTGCCATATTAGCATATATTTTTTTCCCCCAGTTTCAGGACATATAGGAAATCAAGTGAAAATTCAAAATGCAGTGTTGAAAAAAAAATATATAACTGTGTTTCACAAAATTTAAATATACAGTTTTTTTATGTTTCTGTTATTGTTAATTTCAGTATTAGTGGTGTTAATATAATTTTTTCTCAATTTCGTCGGTTATGATAATGAAATTTCCAGTTGGGAGTGGCCCAGGCCTCATTCCAAGATGGGTTGGAAAATCCATGTGAATGCTACAAGTGGCATGGAGATATTTTCTAGTTATTATAAAGCACCGATGAGCTTCATAATATGAGTACTCACAAATCCATGTAAATGCTACAAGTGGCATGGAGATATTTTCTAGTTATTATAAAGCACCGATGAGCTTCATAATATGAGTACTCACAAATCCATGTAAATGCTACAAGTTGCATGGAGATATTTTCTAGTTATTATAAAGCACCGATGAGCTTCCTAATATGAGTACACACTTGATCATATTTTAAACCTAAATTTATATTTGTAAAACAATAAAAGTGGATATACACATGAATATATATTTTTTTATTTGTAGCAGAGAAATATTCACTGGTTATTTAAATTTGTCTTGTACATTGTGATATTATTACAATGTATCATTCTATAAATAGTTTTATACATTGAATGGGATTTAGGCTTTCAAGTATTCTTCTGAAGCTATTCATTTAGCAGAAACTCATACAGCTATTTCACAGAAGGGCTAATGAAATAGTCTTTTGAATTATTATGTAACTTGAAATAGCTAATTTCAACCAAAGGGGTTTCAGACAGTGAAAAGTTATGTGAGGGGCACTTCAAGCTCAAGCCCACCACTACTTATAAATTACAAGACTATGAGGTTTTTTAAATGCATAATATGCATAATGTGTTTCCAGTGTAGATTGTACCTCGATTTCATTTTTTAGTTGTTTTCTGGTGTTTTGTCTTAACCCTATGTGTGTGTGTGGTATTTTCAGGTATAACTGATTTCTCGATAAGTATCTATTAGGTAAACCTGCATATAGCAGTAGCTTATATCAAGAAATAATGGGATGGTTTTGTAATAGGTAACTTAACTGAGTTTCTTTAAGTGTAAAGTAAGGAGTCTGGACAAATATGAATAAAACAAAATTTTTATTGCAACATATAAATTAAACACTGTGTATGTGCCCCTATGGAGACAAAATGACAATCCTTTCTACTAATCTGTGTTTAGCTCCACAGCTTTCTTTTCTTCAGGATTTATCTCCATAGAACTAAACATGTTCTGGAAAAATGTTTTCAATTTTTTTACTTGATTTCCTAGCAGAAATTGGCTAAAGAAAACATGCCTGAATTCAACAGGTAAACTTGCTTTCTTTGTCCAGTCAACAGCATTACTTCATGACCTTTGTTCCTTCAATTCATTGGTTGACTGTTACATCCAGTCAATTTAATAATTGGCTATCAAAGAATATTACAGCGTCAGTCCTTTTAACCCAGCTGTTATGTAGTACTGTGCAAAAGTGTGAGTACAAAGTCAAAAATTACATTTCAGGCTACTTTGAAAGAAACAATGGAAGGTAAATCACAAGTCAAGCATCAAAATGTTATTGATCTTCATATTTAGTACAGCAGAAATTCAGTGGAAGTGCTTTAGTTCAGCAAACAGTTAATATTTTAATATGTGTCCTCCTTTTGCTTTAATAACTGCAGACATTCTTTCAGGCATTGTTGCAACATATTTAATCAAAGTGTCATTTGGGATTTTACTCCAAATGTCTCCAAATATATTCCCATAAAGTTTCTTTGGAAGTAACTTTTGATTTATAATGGCTGGAGACGGCTTGAATGGGTAATGAAGAAAAACTTTAATATAACAGCAAATGTACAACGTTTTGTCATCATCAGGTACAAAACCTTGTC